TATATATATATATATATATATATATATATATATATATATATATATATTAGTGGTTATATAATACAACAACAACAACAACAACAATAATAATAATAATAATTATAATAATAATAATAATAATAATAATAATAATAATAATAATAATTGTTGTTATTATTATTATTATTATTATTATTATTATTATTATCTCTTCGGTATAATATTTTAATATCAATATTATTACTGAGATACGACTCATTATAGATAGGTATTATTCAAAAAAAAAAAAGAGGAAAGGGGCAATAAAAACATCAGCAGGGCAACCGGTCTATCCTTAGATCAGGCCCCTGGGCATGCCAACCGCCTTCACAGTATTGCATTGTATAACAAGCATACTGCAATTCCAACTTCAATCGAAATGGCAGATGGTAGCAGCTCTCAGACCTCATCCTTGAAGGTCAAAGCCAAATCTCAGCACAAACCTAAGCAAGCTAAAGGAAATTCTAAAACTTCAGAAAGGGATGCCATCAGGCGCCATAAAGCTTTACAAAAACAGATAGATAAGTGCACATGGGAGGCGCACAAGGTCTCACAGGACTTTCCCTCCTCCAGTCCAGGTCCGTCTACCTCTTCCCACCCTCCTCCTCCCCTAGATCTCTCCCTCTCATCCAGGCGCAGCTTGGCTCCCTGAGGCCAACAGGCCCAAGTACCTGGGACACTGACCACACGAAGGGCTCCCGAAGCTACATTCACTTCGATGGCTGCCGGTCTTCGTCAGGACGACATTCTTCCAGAGTAAGTTCCAGAGAGGATGAAGGCCTAGATGGAGCTGGCAATCCGCAACATGCAGTTATGACCAGGGAACATCCTGTGATCGCCAATTATGACTCCCAATCACTAAGGTCGTTGACCAGGTCAGAGCAGCACTATACCCAGGTACATTTACAAAGGGAAGTCCCCCTCCAAGGGCCGACTGAGGAGGAGGAGGAGGAGGAGGAAGAAGTGGATCAAATTGATCAAATGGAAGAGATTGAATCAGGATCAATACATGACAGCAAGCCCCTGTCAGAAGCAGACCCCTTAGAAAGGGGAATGTCTGAGGATGAGGGCCTTCTTTTTCTTCTTCATCTTCAAGCAAAAAGAAAACAAAACAACAGTTCAGTTGCCTTTGTTTTTTTTTTTGAAAAAAATACCTTTGAGACTTGATGGCTATGCTTCTTATTTTCTTCATGAACAAAAAAATAATTGTCTTTATTAAAATGCAAACAATGCTATCATGCAAGGTTTAGTCTCCACTCACAGCATTTTTCCAGCTCTACCAATAAATATAACTGAAACTGGTGGGATAGTGAAGGGAGAAGACAGGAAAATTAAATAGGTTTTTCTGAGATTTCCAGCTTGCATTGCTGGTAATCTAACCTCAGCAACTCATTGCCAAGATGTGTTCATAAATAAGAATGTAATCATCTATTATATAGAATTTAATTACATATTATAGTTGTAACATTGTTCTCTGTGCTTTTTATATCCCATCAGCTCTTCCCTCTGTTTCTTAACATTTTCATTGGTATCTGTGAAAACTATCCCACACTAGGCAGAATCAATTTAATTTTTATATTTTCTGAACAATGCATTATTTTAACTTCCATATCTATCTGCCAATTTAGGCAAAAAAGGAAAGAACATCTTATCCGTCAGGCAAAAGCAATCAGAACCTCTGGTGAAAAGTCTCAATAGTAAATTATCGCTAGTCAACTATATTACAAGAATCTCCCTCTTGATCTCTCCCTCCAGTCTAGCTGGAGATTCCACATTATCTCTCTCTATATATATACTAAGCACAAAAGGCACAATATAACCCAGGTTCAGTCATATCAGTTAAATGCAACTTTATCTCCATCCAATTACATTTGCTTGTAGTCACATAGAGCACACATTTCTCAGGTTTTATGATTCCATTTGGGAAGAAATAACTCTTATATTTTGCCAGAATGGGTTAAATAAATATACAATAAGGAAAAAGTAAAAGAAATATGTAGTTCATTTTCAAAATAGTAAGAGAATTCCAAAATTATTTATCAATATGTGCTAAGGATGAATTAATTGATATAAGAATAAACGAGGAGTTCTTGGTTCTTGTTATATTCTGGGCATGGGCGCAAGGAACGGAGACGAGGCAGTGAACGGTGAACTTCAACTCTTTATTAACGATCAGGAACAGAGCAAAAACCCTGGGCAGCAGCAGCTCTTTTATAGGGCTGGCTGCTGTCCCATTAACCAATGACTTACGTTAAAACGTTTAAATTGTACCCAATGAGAGACGTTCCGCTAATAGCCAATCAGGTTGCTCCGTAAGGACCAATCCCAGCTCGCTATCAAAAGTGCAGGATTACGAGCCTGCTTTTCTATCAAGGTTGTCAAGCTTTATTAAAATACGTTTTTGTTAGTTCATAACACCCCTCCCCCCTAGATTCCGTTTGAGGGATGTGGTGATATAATCGCGTAGATATGCAGGTCGTTTCACCTGCCTGTTTGATTTTCGCTGTTCCACCGGTTTCTGTCTGCAGTCTGATTCCGGTGGAGCGCTTCTAAGGTTTTCCGGTACGGTTGGTTCCATTTCGGTGCAGGAGGACTCGGCGCGGCCGCCATTGTTGTTATTCCAGTCTCCAAGGGTTACTTCCGGGTTCCGTGGGCTTGCCTCCCTCGTGGTATTTCCCCGCGGCGAGGCTACCCCGCTTCCTGATTCTTCTTCAGTTGGCGCACTTCTTTGGGTTGGTTGCTG